TTGGAGCATGTGCTGACTTTTAGGCGCTTACATTAGATGGAAAATACTTGCTCAAAGAAAATAATAAATTATAGAAGCTGCAAATCTACAGAAATCCTTTTCAAAGGCAGATGTTGCTAACCCAGTTGTGGAATGTGCCTTTGGGCTTTCCCTTCGCTTTAAACTCGAGCAAGTGCACAGGCTGTGACTGTGTGGCTGCGCGCATGTGGCGTTTAAGAACCTAACTTAATACCAAGTGATTTCCCCCTCCACTGGCTCCATTCATTCAATTCAGAACAAGCAGCATCTAGAACTGTCAAAATCAGGCTTCATTATTGTAGTCATAGAGTTTGAATTGCCACTGTCTGTATGATTTTGTCTCTTTATTTGCTCAGCACTTGTTGCTTCCTGTCGTGTTTCTGCAATATAGAAAAACAAATCCAGATATGAACTTGCTGCACATCACAAAAATATATGTTTTCTTCTATGAATGTATGTACACTATTTTAACCATATATTGATTAGGGCTCTAATGAATGATTATTGTTATAATCAATTATTTTGTTGATTACACTTCTGATTCATAGATTTGTTTTTGTTTAGATCAGTGAATATGGGATTTTGTATACATTTGTTCAAAACAAACCTCAAGTGATGCACTGGAGAACATATTTCTATAGATGACTCATTACACATTGAGCTGTTCGACTTACTTTGCCTCTAACATGTTGCACACTTCTGTCTCTGTCTCTAACATGTACATTTCTCCTGTGTGAGATCAATCACTGATAAATCTCATCTCATTATAAGTGGCAACCTGTGCACGGAGGAATATCTAATTCCAAAGTTTGCAGAGAATGTTTAGGGTAAATATAAAGAGAAGAAAATCTGTTGTCTATAGCAGGGGTGTCCAAACGTATTTGTTAGACGGCGGTTTTAATTCCTTGGACTTGTTCAGGGGCGGACAACATGGATTATAGTGATAATGATTTGCACCACAGCTACATTAGCGCCAAATGTGAAGGTTTGTGACACAATCAAAAACAAATGTCGGTATACAAATACAGCTAAGGTCTGGATACCAGAGGTTATGAGATGAGGTAAAGCATGTCTATAATGGTGGAGCTGAAGTTGGCTGGATGCCATTGTGAAAGTACTTCAATAGCTACTTTGAGTCCCTTTTATGACCAAATATTGCTTATTTGTTTTTAATTTTGTTTTTTTAAGTCTGTGGCTTTTAATGATGAAGTGCAAGTAGTTAAGTAAGTAAGTAATCTTTATTTATATACCGCCTTTCACAGACCAGAGTCACAAAGCGGTTTACAATTGGGCATTTTTTGGGCATTTGTCCTCTCACTCCACATAGAGATGGGAGTGGGGTCGCCAGTACAGGAGGCGCATGCCAGACCTATTGTGCATGTTTTTAGTGGTAGGGGAAACCGGAGTAACCGGAGGAAACCTACGCAGACACGGGGAGAACATGCAAACTCCACTCAGAAAGGCCCTGGTCCGGCCGGGATTTGAACCCAGGACATTCTTGCTGAGAGGCGAGAGAGCTATCCACTCGGCCACCGTGCCGTTAAATGGTGTCTGTGTCATTACACAGATGGATTGAGTTGAATTTATGTGTAGATGGGATGTGATGATATTTGAGATGATCCGTTGTGTTAGTGGGGTATGCGTTCTCATTCCACATTTTGGTATATAGTTGTATTAGACGGGTTGTATGTAAGCCGTTTTACTATCACAAAAAGTATCTAAATATTATGATTTATTTGTTTGTAACAGCCCATGTCTCAATCAACATGTTTTATTTTATACTATAATGTTGACTTATAGGGAAGAGGCACCTGATTTTTCATGTGGGGGAAATTGGAGCACCCAGAGGAAACCCGCCACAAGGCAGCGTTACAGTATATGCTAATATTCATTGAGTGCTTCATTGGATGTAACTAGACTATCTCCTGTCCAATAATGACCCAGAACATCATAGTGTTCTGTATTTTACTGTATAATAATGTGTCATCTTTGGTTATAATGTGTCAGTTGTAAAAGGAGTCAGGCAGTGTAAGTCCTGACCTAAACCTAAATCTTTGAAATAAATATATTACTAGGGTAGGGTAGTTAAACATGTACTTTTGGTCTCTTCATGATCAGTTATCAGGCACATTGTTATAGATATTGAAAGATGAAATATAAACATGTGCATTGGATAAGAAACATCTAGATTGGTGCATCTCTATTTGAATCTATTTACCTTATGTGAAGACTGTATACCTGTATATAGAGATACAGGAACTAGGCCCTTCACACAATCATATATACAGTTTGTTCACACATGTTTTTCTTTTAACATAATTTTATGGAGCTAAACCATTCAAATACTATAGGCTAGATTGAACCATTTGTTATCCTGCATCATTTGTTGTAGTGCCAGGGCTTTCATCTATGGTTCTTGGCACTCCTTTAGTCAGAACATTAAAATGATGAATCAACTCCTCATTGAAATACCCCGAGACACACTTCAATTGATGGGACAAACAATTAATGGCCTCTGGTTTATTTGAAGGGATTACATTGTGTTTGTTTCGGAGGATCTCGTGGGAGGAAGTGATGTCCCTGGTGCAGTCATGTTTGTCCAGAGACAGGACGGTGAAGCTGCACTGATGAGGCTCAAGTGTGCTGAGACAATGCTTCTTCAAGGCTGTATCCTGTTTCAATAAAACAATTCTGGTTTGTGGCATTTTTCCACACATGAATAAGAGCGGGCATGCGTCTAGCTCCATACATTTGTGGTATTTTAGTTCAGCCTGTGCTTTGAAGTGTCTTTAGAGGAAACACAAGCCTCAGCTAAACTTCAGAAGTTAAATTGGCTTCATAAAGGCTCTCTGTTTTTACTTTGTTGTTGGAATTGTATTCACATAACATTGAAAAGGAAAATAAACACACATACAGTATGCATTTAAAAAAAAAAAAGATCTCAATTGCTTCTCCCAAATATTTTACACCAATTTTGGAGACTTCTGAGGGTCTGAGGAAAATAGCAAGAGTTTTCACAGCGTTTACATGGTTTCATTCCAAGGCATACGACAGAAGCTCCCCTCAGCGTCTGCCGCGTCGTCAATCGATACGTTTGCCTCGACCTTCAGATAACCAAAACATCTTCTTCAGACTAATGACCGGCTCAGTTTGAACATAATTGAACAAAAAGTCTCATAAAAGTTTCATAGGTCCTTGGGTTATGTGTTAAAGGTGTCTACTCTCATGGACACCACACTCATGTCAGTTTAAGCCTATCATGAAGCCAAAATAAAGTTAGGGTTGTTGCAGTTGTAGTCCTATTGCACTTGCTTTGAAATATTATCATCATTAACGTCAGAGGTGGCAAAATTGGGTAATAGTGTGGATAGATACTAGTATTATTAAGTAGTAAAAACCTTATTATCTGAACTTATCAGGTCTATTCCTTCTTGGAGCCAGATCATACCATAGACCTTAGACCCTACAGTATTGGAGCCATTAATAAAAAAACGTTCTGCACAATAAAATAAACTTTCTTTTTCAAGATAGAAACCAATTGCTAGTTCATGCATGCGGCCACTTGACAAACAAACTATATAACTGAAGAACAGGACAAAGTCTGAGATTGTGTCTTTAATTCAGACAGAAGACATGTTTTATTGTCGATGGAACTTATCACATGGCTAATAACTTCAAATCATTGTTTTTGGTTTTTTATTTTTTTTATTTTGTGCCACCATCGGCAAAGAGGCAAAGAAACTTATTCTTTTAAAATGTAAACAGCAGAAAGTACAGATATTTGGGTCTGGAGTAAAAGTAGAAAGTTGTTGATCAAGAAAAATACTTAAGTGCACCATTTGAATCAAACAAACTCTTGTAGTGAGCAGTAAGATCAGACGTAGTTCAGAAGTCTTGCCTTGCTATATTTCTGCACTGCATTTCCTTAAAAAGACGGTCTTTCTGCAGCCACCTACCCAAACTGTGAGAGAGGAAACTGCTGTTAAGTGGTGATTGTTTGTTGTTGTTTCAGTATTGTGTTGAGTGAGACTTTCTGATCTTAGTTTATGGTCCCAGATGTTGGCGGAGGGGTGCTATCCCCACAAAGTGTCTGATCTCTGTGGTGTGGAGCTGCTAAAACAGCAAACAGACTAACCATTTAAATAGTAATGTAAAACTGACTGCGACTCTGAATTAAATCTAGTATAACTTTGACCTTGAAATAACAACAAAATAACTGTAATAAAATCCATTTTATAGGTCCTTGCTCTTCAACTGTTTGCTTCGATCACTAGATTTTCACATGCATTCGTTTTTGTCCTGTCTGTGAAAAAGACAGTCCCAGTCACTCCATTCCAGATATCAGCTCTCAGTTTGAAAAAGAGACAAAGTTTTCTAATCAGAAAAAGACAAACTTAAACAATTTGATGTATTTATGAAAAAATGAAAAAAGGTACTTCAATTTGTGATCTATTCCTTCAAATTCTACTTAAATGATTTATGACTTATATTAGTATCATCATTATTTGTTTCCATATATTAATTAAATTCTATATTTTTCATTTTAAAAGTCATTATTTTTGTTTGTGACAAATGTTATTGTTAAAAATATGTAATGCAAAACTTGTGTCATAACTTTAATTTCTCTTTTGCGAAGCACTTTGAATTCTCTCTTACACAAATTGTGCTAAACAAATGAATGTGGATTGATTGATTGATACCCTTTTGCACACCTTTTGTGGACTTATCATTTTGACAAGACAGTTTTTTTCCTGCTAATCCAGAGATAAACAGGAGTAACTGTGAATGAACTGGGCTGATGGCGTGTGTGTGCGTGTTGTAGTGTGTGTGCCCCAGCAGAGCCGTGGCACATAAGGCCTGTTGTGGGGGGCATTGCTTCTTACCACCAATCAGTTGTAATGAAAAAAGAGCCAAGTGAGCCAGAGGCGGTGAAGGGAGTAGAGTTCCTATGTAATTACTACATGGTCTTAGAAAGCAAATACCAAGCCCTAGCAACCTCTGCACGGAGACAGTGAGAAGAGAGGGGGACGCGGCGTAGAGGAGGAGTACAAAACCTGGACCCGAGGAGCTCAGCGGCACCACAGAGCGACCCTGCCATGACCTGGGATCTCCAACAATCTCGCCCGCTGCCAGGCTGGAGCCAGAGTTAGGGCTGAGGAGTGAGGGGCCGGCCAGCATCCCCTCCGATTTATGACTGACTATAAGGCCCCTGAAAGAAACCCAATCACCCGGGATTCCTGCGCAGCATGACTCTGGGCTGCACAGAATAGATAGCCCCGGAGAGTGTGGGACAGAGGGCCACTTTAGCAAGGGAGGGGTGGGCAGTGGGCACGGCACTATTATTTCCAGCTCTCCACTATGAGCATGATATCATTATGAGCATACTTGACCAAAACTCCACATCTGAATCGCTCTGTCAACACATTTCCCTATCCAGATCTACACACACCAGGTTAATTGCTCTATCTGTCTAATTAATACAAATGTAAGTGTTATTTAATTTCAACCTGCCATCAATTGGGGAGCAAATAAGAGAAAGGCAAGCTGAGAGCAGGGCATGAAAAGAAGTGGAGAAGGCAGCAGTCTTTTGAGGCGGGTGCGGCGAGCTTGGTGGAGCTACCTGCCGCTGATACCATTAGCAAATGATCTGAATGATCGTGATCCAGCGAAGCCACTCACCACACGCTGCAGTGGCTACCTCTGAGGAAGGCACCCTTAATGTGCTTGCAAGCTGGGGAACAACACTTATTATATTCAGCTCGTTTGAAAATTCAGAGACAAGTTGATGTTTGAGAAGCCAACAAAAATAAAGCAAAACATAGACAGGGGGAAAAGTTCCATATTTTTTTGAAGAGGACAGAGTTTTACATGCTTTGTGATGCCGGGTGCTTAATAATTCACTTGATTCTACAAGCAGCAGTAAGGCAATATGGAAACACACTCATGCATGACAACAGTTCTCATAGACAATGCCTTATCAAAAAGAAGTGTGTCACAGCCTCTGCTCAAGACACACCAGTTGGAGTTCTGGAAGCTAAAACTGGTCAAAACAAGCCAATAATACTGCTCTTGTTAATTAATGGGAATTATATTGCTTGACATGAAATGCAATTTCATGTCAAGCAATATTTACGGGGGTAAAACGCATAACTTAGGGAGCAACAAGTAAAAATCAAGTCCTCAGGCATACATAATTGTGTGTCCTAATACCCAACATCACTTGTTCCATATTCTACAAGTTTGTTGCTTTGGAAATCCAGCTCATAATTTTATTTCTAAATGTGTCAGATATCTTTTTTCCCCTTCTTTTTGATCAGCCTTGAAGTTGGTCTCGCCTCAGCCACAAAGCAGAATTCTATTGACTGGTTCCAGGGAGCGTATTGATGGTTCCATAATTTGGGCACAGGAACACAAAAAGGCTGACCCCCGCTGAGCCCAGCACGACAGCCCAGTCAGCAGGGAGGCTTGCATTTATTAGCCTGGGAGAGCAGCTCCTGCAGAATTAAAGCACATTCACCCACCCATTGATCTCTGTCATGAAAACAATACTGGGCTCCCGCTCTGGCAGCCAGCGAGGCACGGCGCGCTCTGAGCTAATTCCACAGCCATAGAAAGCAATTGCACCCTCAGGCTTCCAGTAAACTATCTGAACAGTGCGAGAAAAGGATAAAACAACTAAAGCTTATCATTGCATTATCAATCCACCTGTCTGATGCTGTCAGGGTGGAAAAATAGTTGATGAAAAACAGTCCAGCTGTGTTTAGAATTTGTTCGAGTTCTATTGTAGATCTGGTGAATCAATTACATGTTGCCTCCAGTCTAGTTCATCCGAAGGTTCAAGACAAAGTATTCAGATGTAAATATTGCATATTAACCTAAATATATTTCAATATTTGCAATGTCTTATTTGAGTGTTTTGGTTTTTGATTAAATATGAATGGGTGCACCAAGGGAGAGTTTAACACGTTGTTGGCCTAAATAAATGTGATAGGTCTACTTAAAGAAGGAAAAACTTGAGTTGAGAACTGATTGGCTGAGCAAAATTAATTATCTCTTATTCACTTTTCAGTCTGAAAAGGACGGGATTTTGTTGTGTCAAAGCAAAACATTACGACTGTGAAACAAGTGTTAAACCAAACTATACTCAGAGCCAGGAACAAGTTTTTAAATGAATAAGTAACACTTTTCACTGTTTCACTATCAGCGACCCTGCTTCTAGATATGCTTTGTAAATATAGAATAATTTGTATTTAATATGTTCAGATGGATTTCACCGAGCGCTTCTTTGATGTTGTTTGATAGACAGACAGGGCTACTTTTCACATTCTAGTCTCTGAAAGTGTGTCCTCTCCTGTCAGCTGGTTAGAGAACCAGATGAATGGGTGAACAGCAGGACCTAACATACCAGAGTGCCGCTCATTTTAAATCCTCTGGTAAAACTTTTCACTGCTTTTTAAAAAAGTTCATTTTCAGCCTTGGTTTTGCAAAAGTAAGTAAGTAATCTTTATTTATATACCGCCTTTCACAGACCAGAGTCACAAAGCGGTTTACAATTGTTATTTTTGGGCATTTGTCTCTCCACACAGAGATGGGAGTGGGGGTCACCAGTACAGGAGGCGCATGTCAGACCTATTGTGCATGTTTTTAATGGTAGGGGAAACCGGAGTACCCGGAGGAAACCTACACAGACACGGGGAGAACATGCAAACTCCACTCAGAAAGGCCCTGGTCCGACCGGGATTCGAACCCAGGACGGCTGAGAGCTATCCACTCAGCCACCGTGCCGACCATAGTCTCTTGGTTTTATCCTCACATATAACTCCATCGTTATCAAAATTAAGCCAAACTATTACTGAGCCTGGATCGGACAAGAACCGGACCAGAACCTACCAGATTTAACACAAGTAAAAACCAGAACTAAATCAGAAATAAAAATAAATGGTATGATCTGGCTCCAAGAAGGATTAGACCTGTTACACAATAAAATAAACTTTCCTTTTCAAGATAGAGACCAATTGCTAGTTCATGCATGCGCCCACTTAACAAACCAACTATATAACTGAAGAAAAGGACAAAGTCTGAGATTGTGTCTTTAATTCAGACAGAAGACATGTTTTATTGTCGATGGCACGAACAAAGATGCTACAGAATGCAAGTGATATTATACAGGCAGAATCAAAGACAGTCCAATCAGCAGCTGCCAACGTACTAGTAGCTTCAACCTTGAGATAACCAAAACAAGAAGTGGAAAAGTACGGCCATGAGGATATTGTTAGAATAATGAGATTAACTTTAAACACAGTTGCTTCAAAGTGTCATGAAATCTCCAAATCCCCTTAATCGATCTTCAAATAACCAGAAATAAACATGATGTAATGCATGCAACCACCTTATTTTTCCTTAACTACAAGTAACATTCATCATAATCCGATTTGGTCTGTTTCTGTAAAAGCAGCGAACACAGTTATACCAGATTTGATAGTTTTCCATACAATATCATTAAACAGTAAAAAAGCCACTACTCTGGATACTAACCCCTATTCCGAGTATTACTTTGAACAATGTCTGTATGACTTGAACTATCCAAATAAACATACTTTGCCCTCTTTATTTGTACGCAGCCATGACCCGTGACCCGAGGAGCGCGCTGCTTTGATGCGGCTTGGCTTTAGTGTCCGCTGAGCAGGAGGAAGTCTGAAGTCTCTGGTCAACTCAAACGCCGCAGTGTCAACACAAACCAGAAGACGACCCAAAGTCACACTTCTCACAGAAAGTTCTTGGTGCGTCTCATTATGCCACCTAGAGCTGCTGTTGTCAGCGGCGGTTTGATGTGCGAATGGGACGAGCTCACTGAGATGCCATGGCCTGGTATGGGGCCTGCTGCTGCCTCTTTTGAAGTGTATGTGGGACAAGGGCTTTCATATTTACAGAGAAGAGATAAGAACCTAAGGGATTTCTTTGATTGGCACCCTGTTTTATAAGCACTGGGAAGTATAGAAAATGTAATCATGGGTCTGTATATGAAGTAGAAAACCAAAGGCAAAGTGAAGTGTTACAACTGAAAATAACCCCTATGCCATATGGCCTTTCACATAGTCAGAGCTGCCCTAGGATGGATTGAGGCAGCAAATATGCACAATATAAAATATATAAACACTAACAATCCGTCACTATTGCTCAGGGATGACCAGAGTGGGAGTTAAACAGCCAACATTTATGTGGAAGAATAAGAATTCTAGCCATCACAAAAACCACCAACACACACAAATGAAAAAATAAAAGACCCTAAAGCCTTTTTTATTTATGGATTTGATTATGAACCACATAATTATATATGATATAACAAATTTGCCCAGTTTATGGACTAATAACAATTTCAGGTACATAAACATGTTTCTGGGCGGCACGGTGGCTGAGTGAATAGCATACTCGCTTCTCAGTAAAAAGGTCCTGGGTTTGAATCCCGGTCGGGACTAAACTGAGCATCAACATCTGGAGATGTGTTCCCTGGGGCTTTACTCGTGGGCGAGAGATAACTGGTACAATGAAAAAATAGAGAAGGAGGCACTCTTACATAAAAATTTAACTCCTCTTACTCTGTAGCCGTTTGTGTCACACACACCTTTTCTATGGTATACACTATAACTTCAAGCTTTACAAAAACATTACGCGAGTACATTAACATAAACACATTCATATACATTACAGATTCAATATCATAGCGTTAGCCTGGTCTTACCAGACCATTGCACCATTACGGATGGCTAAGGTCAGGCTATTATAGAATGGGATAAGTATCATACAGAGCTTCCATGCATACTTTAGTGTGAGTGCAAAGTTATTCATTATTAAAAGACTCACATGAAAGATGCTCTTTTCTACTATGAAAATCAAAGCCAAGATCCTGCTCAGTAAATCTGTGTAAACTGTGAAGAACTCCTAAATCTAGTGGACGCTTGACCTTTATTAGAGCAGGTTAATTATGCAAGTTTATTTGAGCGACTGTTCGGCCCCCTCTGTCACTGTTGAAGACTGAAAGCATTTTGATTTGACAAAAACCTCTTTGCTGTCATGCTTTGAACAACTTGAACACTACATTATTAACTACTCACAAACAATGTTCTAAGAGCAGCTTTGAAGTTTAACCTCTTTTTTTATAGACCTCAATACAATAAGAA